ACCCCTTGGAGGGATTGAACGACCTTTTCACCAGGGTCATCTAAGACCATTGGAAAACAGATATTTACATCGTTATGACAGTAGCAAAATTACAGTTATGAAGTAGCAGTGAAAAGAATTTTCTGTTTGGGGTTCTCCCTACATATTAAAGATGGCAGCATTGGGAAGGTTAAGAACCACTGGCCCAGAAGAAAGCCTACCACTGCTATTCTAATGGACGTGACACCACATCGAGCACCAGTGATTTATCATTATACCTGTAGATGACCTCATCTCTCCACCCTCATCAGGGCAGCTTCTATCTGCAGTAGATGACCGACATGGACACCCACAACCAGCCAAGGGTGGAGAATAAGAGCTTTCAGAATGCTCAATCCTAAATGGAACAATTCCTACTGCACCCCCCCTCCCAAGGCTCAGGGATAATTTTGGAACAGGAAGCAGAGACTGGAAGAGCCAGAGGCAGTGAATGAATTCAAGGAAACGGTGTCCTCAGGTTGGAGCAGGGCAGCTGCATGTATGAACTCACAGTGGTGTTGAGAGCATGCAGAAAACCTGTGCAGGCTCACACATAACCAACCCCCATCTTGGAGGGGAGAGGCAGCATGGCGTCCCACCCCCGGCTGAAAAGCTGTTGGTCAATTAGTAGCTGCTGGGAGAGAGTCAGTTTTCTTTAATCCTGCAGCCCATTCTAAATCAACCATGCTCCAGTGGAAGGCCACACATCCAGGATTATATGAGCAGCACAAATTGGGTTTGATTAATGAGGAGATTTAAAAAAAAAAGACACAATTGGGTAGAGAGGAAAGCAAGGAATGGATCTGGGAGGAGTTGATGAATATGGTTGAAATTAATTGTATAAAATTCTTAATTTTATTGTATATAATAAAAACAATGAAACCCAAACAAACTAGCACATTGGGGTTTAAGGAGCCCAAGCTACTTCAGGTGGGACGTTCTTCAGGAAGAAACACCTGGGAAATTGTGTACACCTTTGAGAATGCTGGAACATCAAGGGTAGGATATTTGCTGGTATGTTGGGGCATCCCTGTACAGCCAGTTCTTAAGAAACAAGGGCAGGAGGGTCAGGAGTTCAAGGTCAGCCTGAGCTACCTGAGACCTTTCAGCCTCCTGCTACCCAAGAAAACAAGTGGGAGATTTACGAGAACAAACTGTGTAAACTCACAGTAACAGACTTGTAGACACCAGGCCTGTTACCAGAGGCCTAACAGAGGTAGGTGGAGCTTGGGAGCCAGGCTGTCCAGTAGCATAATGTGCTCTTGGCCTCTTGACTCTAGTGGGATGCTTTTCTTGTTAATGAATTAACCAGCTTGGAGAAGGCTTCTGCAGAGTGACTTATGCCATCAAGGAAGATGTATCTTAATTCTCACCACATCAAAGTTAACCCTTGACGGTATTGCTGAATTTCAGAGCAGGAGCCCAAGTTGAAAGGCTGGGAAGTCCAGCCTTCCTATTGTTTTTCCATTTTGACTTTTTGAGACTGAGTCTTATTCTTTAGCCTAGGCTGGTCTTGAACTTCCAGCAATCCTTCTACCTCAGCCTCCCAAGTGCTAGGAGTACAGGAATGTGCCACCATGGCCCTGGATAACATACCAGCAGGATGTTATCCAAGGAATACTGGGAGGGGTTTTGCTCTATTGTTAGGGTTTTCTTTCTTTTTCCTTTTCTCTTTTTTGGGGTAGGGGGATGGTTTCTGTGCCCTGGACTTGCTTTGTAGACTAGGCTGGCCTCAAACTCACAGAGATCTGCCTGTCTCTGCCTCCCGGAGTCCTGGGATTAAAGGCTTGTGCCACCATGCCTGGCTTTTGTTAGGGTTTTCCAACTCATCTTTCAAACAAATCAGGGAAGTCTGTACACGCGCGATGCTTTCAGGGACAAGCACAGCACCATTTTAAAGATGTATTTTTAATTAAAAAATGAATTATTTTTATTTTACTTGCACGAGTGTTTTGTCTGCATGGATGGATGTACATCCTGTGCATACCTCGTGCCCGAGGAGGTCAGAAGAGGATGCCAGATTCCCAGAAGAAATGACAAGATGGTTGTGAGCCACTATGAGGGCGCTAGGAACCAAACCCCAGTCCTCTGCAAGAGCAGCAAAAGCTCTTAGCTCCTGAGCCATCTCTTGGCCCTAGGTATTTCTTTTAATTTTGAAGGGTATAGGTATGTGTGAGTTTGGGCTAATGAGAGCAGTGTCCACAGAGGCAAGAAGAGGGTGTCAGATTCCTTGGGACTGGAGTTACAGTTGTGACCTGCTCAATATTGGTGCTAGGAATCAAACTTGGGTCCTCTGCTAGAAAAGTACATGCTCTTAACTGCTGACCCCCGGGAGCCATCTCTCCAGTCCCCTCTCCCCTTTTTTGAGACTAAACTTTTGGCAATCTTTTTGCCTCAACTTCCTTAGTGCTAGGAATCGGGAGGCGTGCATTATCATTCCTGGCTTTACACTGTATTTTTGCATTATTTGTGTGTGTGTGTGCTGTGTAGAGGTCAGAGGACAACTTTCTGGACTTGGTTTTCTCCTTGCACCATGTGTATTCCAAGGAATTAAAGCAGGCTGTTGGCATAGAGGCCAGGGCCCTTACTGAGCCATCTCAGCAGTCAGCACTGTAACTCTGAAAAGCCTGACACAGAAGAGTAACTAAGGTAGTGCCTGAGATACCTTAGTGTTGTAAGGACAAATGATTAAACTACATGGACAAAGTGACGTATATATTATATATGTACATGACATGTCACCTTGAAAACTCGTAAAACGGCTCATTGAATGAACACAATTTCTCACCGTGTTATTGATTTAAAAACAAGCCTGTGTACCTGAATTTTTGGTAAATGTTGGCTTTGCAAAAAAATAAAATCTCTCTCTCTATACATACATACATGTATGAACATGCCTCATTTTGATTTTGTGTTTCTTTTCTCTACCTTCGCAACAGTGAGTAATCTATCACCCTTGTGGCAAAGGAGTGTGTATGTCACACACAAATACACGTAATTGCATTTGAGACTGAGTCTTATGTAGCCCAGGCTGGCCTCAAATTTGTTGTGTAGCTGAAGATCATCCTAAAATGTTCGCTCTTCACAGACCTAGTATGGGATTACAGGCACAGTGAATGCCACCTGCTTTTAAAGTCAGCAGGGAAAACAAACAAATAAACAAGAACGGGATCAGGACTCATTCTTGGGGGGTGTTTTATTTATTTCTCCCACCCTCAAGGACTGGGAGCCAAGCCTGCCAAACCCGCCGGCTCTGCAAGCGCTTTACCACGGAGCTATATACTCCAGCTCCTTTCCTTTATCTTTAAATGGCAAACGATTCTAGTAATATTTGGACCCAAACTTCTGAGATAGAAAAGAGGAAGTGGAAAACCAACCGTCCCCCTCATTGTTGCTAATGATAAGCTCCAGCTGGCTTCAGGACAGCACTCCCACCCCTCAGAATCAGTTTACCCCTCCCCCATCCTCAGAAACAGCCCTGTCTCCGGAGTGGTCCCCTGCCAAGCTGGGAGCAAACCCGCACCATCAACCCCACTGTAGCACACGGCTGGGGGCAAATGCCCCCTTGTAAATCCCCGGAGTCTCTAACAAAAGTCAACCTGGAAAGGGGAAATTCCCACTGGGATTTATGAAGTTACGCACAGTTAGGGAGAAGCTGAACCGTGATGGGGAGGGAGGTGGTATTTTGGTTTTCAAAAAGTCCCGAGTACACCAGCTCCTCTGACCATGGCAGCGTGACTGGCCCAGTGCGAGTACTGGGTACCCTAGAGTACCAGGTACCCTAGACCTCGAGGGTCAAGTCTCTGCAAGCCTACGTGCCCTCCTGGATTAAGCCGCAGGCGCTTTCCCACTACGCCTTTCCATTTGCCCGCCTGCATCCGGGGTCCTGCGTCTTGTCCACAGTGTCTCAGTTTGTTCACCTCTGGGCTGCACGGTGTCAGCCTGGGTGGAAATGAACAGGAGGCAGTGGGGTGAGAAACAGTGGCTCCTTGCCGCCTCGTGAGCCGCTGTACAGCTCACAGCACAGTGAGCGGGGATGTTCAGGTTTTCCTTTAGAACAGGGCCACACCACCTTCTCTTTAAAGTCTTTACATACCGACAAAGCCGCGGTTGTAGGGTGCTGCTGGACCTTGGCGTTATCCATGGTCAGTACTCCCGATTTCCCTTAGCTGCAGGAGCAGCGGTACCCCGCCCCCAACCCTCCCACCCCTCCGCCCAGACGTCCTCCCCTGAGGTTCCTGATTACCCCTCCATCGCCCCCAGATCTTTTTTCCTACCAACCTGCCAGCTGCAGTCGGCTTGGGTTTTGCGTGACTCAAAGAATCTGCAGACCTTGTCTCCCCTTCCCGTTAGTCCCACCAAATCACCCTCTAGTCCCTATCTGGGTCGGATCGTCGCAAAAGCAGGTTCTCCCCAAGGTGGACTTTCCTCCAAAGTGGAAGGCTCCCCCGGCCGCCCTGGGGGGACGCCCTTCCTTGCTCTGAGAGTTTTCCAGGGAGTCTCGGGAGTGCAGCTAGCCCCGGGCTCAGGCTGCCGAGGAGGTGAAGGGTCCTGCAGCTGCACGGCCCGAGGGCTGATGGTCCTCTGTGCAGAGCGGGAAAGGCCGAGTCTCCAGGGGTCGGTACTTTCCAACCCTGAAAGCCGTCTAAGCCCTGGGCTTCCCGGGACCCCGTCTCTGCCCGGGTCCCCTGGGAGCGGCCCTGGGAGGGACGGGCGCCCTCTGTCTGCCCTGCGGGCTTTCAGCTTCGGGTTCTCCCCGGCGTGCCCTTCCCTGCCCCGGGGCTAAGCAGTCAGGTGGTGGCGGCGAGGTCAGGAAAGGCCCCCACTGCGCCCGCCCGGGCCTCCAGCTGGGAAGGCGCCCCGCCCGCCCGCCCGGCTCCCACCCCGCCCGGCAGCGCAGGGAAAGCCCCCGCGGCTCCTCCCACCCCAGGGGCTTTTCTCCAGTCGCCAGCGACTTCGCTCGGAGAGCGCAGCCGCCTGGCGCCGCTTTCAGCCGAGCTGGAGCGCGCAGGGCCCCTGCTCTTCTGCCAAGGCAAGGGGCAAGGGTCGGTGACCTCGGGGCGCGTCCCGGGTCCGCGTGTGCTAACCCGAGCTCCAGCCCCCGGCCCGCGCCTGGGCCTCCAGCATGGTGCTGCTGGCTGGGCCCGGGCCGGAGGGCGGCGGGACACGCTGCCTGGCCCCGCAGCCGCCGACGCCACCCCGGGGAGTAGAGACAGGGGACGACCCAACGGACTACGAGGAGTACGAAGACTTCTCCAGTCTTCCGGACACCCGCAGCATCGCTTCGGACGATTCCTTCTACCCTCCCGGAGGCGAGGAGGAGTGCAGCGTGGTGAGCGCCGAGAGCGTCCAGGAGGGCGTCCCCGAGGCGGCGACCCTCCTGCGCGCCGCCTGCGCCAACGACGTGGGGCTGCTGCGGGCGCTAGTGCGGCGCGGGCCGAGTTCCGAGGAGGTGCGGGAGACTGATCGCAACGGCCGGGTAAGTCCGCGTGCCGGTAGGGTCGGGGTCCTCTCCGTCTCCTCCCTCGCCCCCATTTCCGCGTCACTCTAGTCCTGGATCTACGGCTGCCCCAAGCACTCTTTCCTTCCTTTCGGGCTTGTGGCAATGGGACCCCATTTGTTCTGCCCAAAAGGGAGGAGCGGGCGGGAGACGGTCCACCTGGCTTCTTACTGCATTCCAGCCCCTTTACCGCTCGGGGATCCCCGATTTCTCCCTAGAGGCCAACGCTGGAAATGTGTTAACACAAGGGGGGGGGGTATCTCTTCAGTGACCTCCTGACTGTTACATTTCCCCAGGCCCCAGGTAGGTCTCCTTGCTGGGGACAGCCTTTTTCTACCGCTCTCCCCATTTGTTCCCCTCGGCTTCTCCGGCTGTCCTTGCCTAACACTCTGGTGCTCGATTTAGATTTGGAAGTTTTCTTTTCTTTTCTTACGCCCCGGTCTTTCCTTGCTTCTCCTAGTGGCCCGCGCGGCGACCAGCCAGCCTTATCTGCTGCGGTCACCGCTGCGGGTGACCTAGGGGCCCTCGCAGCCATCCTCCAGGCAGGCCGGGTGCAGCGCAGCACAGTTCGCTCGGGCACACAGGGAAGTGGGGAGGCAGTCTCTATTATTTACGGCAAGACTCAGAGAAAGCAAGAAAGTTTCAAAAAAAAAAAAAAAAAAAAAAAAAAAGAGTTGGAGAGCTGTTCCCTCCGAACTCTAACTGGGAAAGTGACCTCTGTGGCCGTGTTCCCATTAAACCCTGGACAGACAGCCTCACCTGATTTCCATGTTCCCGGAGGCCCAAAGGTTTCTGCAGACTCAGCCTTGCGCCAATTAGGGACGCCTGTGCTGCTTCTTGGAAGTCACAGCCGATGGAAAGTAAGCGCTTTAAAACGGGGACTTGGAGAGCCCTTGCCTTGGGCTTACCCTGGGGCTGTGTGGTTTGTCCCTGACTGCAGTCTGGTCAGGCTTAGGCAAGTGTGTAGCCAGTGTGTTACTCTCTGCTTTCCAATAACCCGAGAACATTGAACCTGGGGAAATGGTTCACGCTTGCGATGTGTCAGGGAGACCTGTGTGATGAGGGCAGCACCTCCGTGGTGGCTGTTCCGGTTGGAACGCTTCAGGAGGAAGGGCTCAGGGGGCTAGTTCTCTTCTTTTGCTCCACTTTCAGTTTAACTAAGCGAGTTTTCCGGGTCAGGTGTTGGCGTTAGAAACCTCTCCTTCCAGAGCGAGCATAGCAGCAGCCTGGAAAGATCGCCAGGGACAAAGGGTCTGCATGTTTGGGGTGGTCTTCACCTGAGGACTTCACCTGTGAGTGGCCACTCGCCTCTGTAGCCAGCGATGGGAAGGAATCCTAAACAATAACCAACGTTTGAAAACTGCAAGGAAAGCTGATAACACGTTAACCGGTGCACAGGAGGCTTGGGGAAGACTGATCAAATTCCAGGACCCCTGGAGAGCGGCTCTGGGGAGCAGAGGCCTGAGAGCTGCCTCCCCAGCAGCTCCTGTTTTCCTCTTGTGTAGAACTCCTGTAGTGACAGTCCTGGGGTCTGTGAGCCTCAAGTGCTGTCCTGCTCGGAAAGCCCCACACTGATGCTCATCTTACTGTCTTTTCCCCTTGTTCTGAAGAGAACATGGTCCAGCCTTATGTCTCTTGTGCCCAAGTTTTCTCTTGCTATTTTTCTCTTCCTTAGGTTATGAAGATAGAGACTGCAGGGCCTTAAGAGAGCATCCACTTCTTTGCACACATCAGATGATTCTGGGGACCAGAGGAAAGGTGTGGGAACCAGAGGACAGGTCTCTGGGCCAGAAGACCGGGGCTATGTTCTGCGTGCCCCGAGGGGAGAAAACAAGAGGCTGTGTTCTTACCCTTAACTATCAAGGAAAAAGCAAGAGACTTAGGGAACGAGGTGGCAGGTTGCAGAAGGTATTTGGGTCAGGTAGGTAGAGCCAAGGAATAGTGGCAGGTACAGTATGGTTTGTAATGGCCTGGAGTGGAGAGCAGGGGCTTTGGTAGCCAAGGCTACCAAAGGTGACGAGAAACCCAGCTGTCCTTAGCTGGCTCTGAAACTGGGAGTAAATGAGTGTCAGCTTGCCAGTGACCAGTCTGTAATGCTTTAGTACACCTTCTAGTAGCCACATGACTTGCTTTCTCCCCCACCTGGAGGTTTCTGTTTTAAGGGTACTTTCTCTGGAAGGCATTTCCACCTGCCCCCATCCAAGCCCAGAGCTGGCTAAGGGTAGTTCAAGTGTTGAGTCACGAAGGGCTGAGGTTGTCAATAGGATGGTCATTTGCCAGCAGGTGTCCTTTGAGCACAAGAAAAAGTCTTTGTGCAGAGAGGGGGAAAGTGCAAAGGTCCTGAGGCAGGAACAGTGTTCTGCGTGCTCTAAAGGTTGCTCATAATTTGCCCTAATGAAAGCAGACTCCAGAGCTTTGGTGGAATAGTGGGGTGATTGCATTAACAGCAGGTGACAGCTGCTGGGTACTTCTGCTCAGGGCCAGCTTCCCAGGAACAACCTAAATCAGTGATTCTCAGCCTGTGGGTCATGACAGGGAGGAGTCAAGCACCCTTTCACAGGGGTCACATATCAGATACCCTGCATATTGGGTACTTAGGATTCATAACAATAGCAAAACCAGTTATGCAGTAGCATTGAAATAATTTTATGGTTTCAGCTCACCAGAACATGAGGAACTGTATTAAAGGGTCACAGCATTAGGAAGGGTGAGGACCACCGCTCTAAAGGCTTTTGAATGTTGCTGCTATGCAGAACACCTCACTACTTTTTTTTTCTTTCCATTTTTTCTTTTAATTTTTATAATTATACTTTATTCACTTTGTATCCCCCCGTGGCCCCCTTCTTCCTTCCTCCCCTCCCAATCCTGCCCTCTCCCCCCCTTTTCCACACATGCCCCTCCCTGTGTCCACTGATAGGGGAGGTCCTCCTCTCCTTCCTTCTGATCCTAGTCTATCAGGTCTCATCAGGAGTGGCTGCACTGTCTTCCTCTGTGGCCTGGTAAGGTTGGTCAACCTTTGGACAGAGTTCAGGGAATTTCATAAAAAAAGTAGGAAATAATAAGACCTGGAGAGGACAGGAGCTCCACAAGGAGAGCAACAGAACCAAAAAATCTGGGCACAGGAGTCTTTTCTGAGACTGATACTCCAACCAAGGACAATTGATGGAGATAAACTAGAACCCCTGCACAGATGTTGCCCATGGCAATTCAGTGGCCAAGTGGGTTCCATAGTAATAGCTCACTTCTTAACAGGTAAGAAGTCCACTCTGAGCCCCAGGTGGCCAAGGACCACATGTGGAGACTAGGGGATGTGGCTGACCACACAAGTTTGCGTCTGAAATATTGTTCTGGAGGGATCTCAGGATCTACGATATAACACTTAAATATTTGTCACGTAATTTTCCTGTAACAACAAACACGTGCTCTTCCTGTGTTTTTTGGTTTCCATCATGAATGGGTGGTGTAGCCCTCCAGAAACCCTTTTCCTAATTCCTTCCTTTACTTACTCCTGCAGCCCTGGTGGCTCTCCCCTCGTTAACAGAGAAATGGAAGACATGTTTGTGTCTTTTTAATTGTGGAAGGGCAGTTTGCGTGTCAGACACCTGAGCCAAATTATGCCTGGTTAAGCTGAAAGGTGGAATGCCTGTGTGTGCTGAAATCTCAGGAAGTTTCCCCAAATCACCGTAAAGCCCCTCAGTGTGAGGTGCCTCCGCTCACGAAAGAGGCTTACATCTCAGTTTTCCATACACTTCGGTGTGATCACACTTTACCTTGAAGTACAAAGGAGGAATTTGTTGCTTTTTTTTTTTTTTTTTAAATATTTAATGATTTCTGAATGTAGAAATCTCCTCTTCCTAAAGGGAGGGTCACAGTGCTGGAATTCATGCACAAACCTCCACCCTCCCAGGTCTCCATATGCATGCACGGCCGGCCTGTGTGTGCATAGAATTAGGCTGACTCATGGAGAAGCTGAACTCTGAGGTCTCAGCTAGTTTGCTAGTTACTATGGAGAGTGGGCTCTGGCCTCAGACCTCCAATGCTTGCCAAGGGCCAGTGCACACAGGGAGAGGTTTGCTTTGCTCTTTGGGACATGTTCATGTGTTTTTCCTCTCCTTAATAACCTCCCCAACCCCGTGTGTGTGTGTGTGTGTGTGTGTGTGTGTGTGTGTGTGTGTGTTTATGAAAGAGAGAGAGATCTGTGGATACACTTGATTGTGTGTGTATGTGGGGGGGGGGTTCATTCTTAACCATGGTGCCATGTGGAGTCACAGCACAACCTCGGGTGCCTGTCCTCACCTTCTACTTTCTTTGAGTTAGGGTCTCCTTGTTTCTTTTGCTTCTGTGTGTGTCAGGGTGACCCACAAACCCACCAGCTGTGTGTGTCTTCCTTATTGCTGTAGGAACACTGGGGTTGCAGGCCCCCCGTACAGAGCCAGGCTTGATGTGGGTCCTACAGGTTCAAATTCAGGTCCTTATGTTTGTGTGTCAATGTTTTACCCACTGAGCCATGGTCTATCGTGTCCCCGTTTTAGTTCCATCCTCAGTCGTGGGGAAGGAGAGAACAGTGTGTTAAATAGCATTGTGCTGGGAACTCCAAGGACAACATTGAAAGTGAATCAGGTCAGGTGGGTTTGGGAAGAGTAGGCCGGTGCAGGCAGGCAGGCAGGTCTTGCTCTTCCACTAACCTTGGGTGTGTGTCCAGGCCTAGCAGCAGTAGAGAGGCACTTATGTTTTAGGTATAAGGATATCAGTTATCTGTGGCTGTGGTAGTGTTGTGTGCTAGTAAGCTCTGTGTATATCTATAATAATAAATTTATTTATTATAAATATCTGTCATAATTTATTTTAATTAATTAATTAATTTTTGGCTTTTTGAGATAGGGTGTCTTTGTGTAGCCTTGGCTGTCTGGGAACTAGTTCTGTAGACCAGGCTGGTCTCGAACTCATAGAATCTGCCTGCCTCTGCCTCCCTAGTGCTG